CATTCTTCTTCCTGAACCTGAATCACGTTTCTGCTCCTCTCGTGAATTAGCTACTTCTAACAGATAAGTGCTGCATAAAATTCCAAACGTCAAATGTTCCAAAATGTTATTCTCGTAGGCAAACAAGAATAAAAAAAAAAATCGAATCACTTCTCACTCTTGGTTATTGCAAACGCAGGCCCCTTATACATACATGACTAGTGGACGGATCCTTCGTCACAACGTACCCCACTGCATGCCAGCCTAGATGGCTGCAAACGCAGGCCCCTTATACATGACTAGTGGACGGATCCTTAGTCACAACGTACCCCACTGCATGCCAGCCTAGATGGCCCCGCGGATGAATGTCAGTAAGGACGCCTGTGCTAGTATGTTCATCCAACACGGTGAACCAAAAGAAAACTCTTGGTACGTATGTGTACTAGGCATTACACAAAGAATCACCATAATCTATAACCTTAGTCCCTGCAGATTTTAAACTCCACACAAAAAAGACAAGGTCAGCTGAGCGACAGCCCATTTCTGCATGCTTCGTTTATTACTCTGCAAGGACCTACGCCCATCGGATAAACGTGAGTGAGCCCTTCCGTGTGACACTGGCGTTATAAACCCAGATGCCTGTGGAAATGAGGGGATTTGCTGTGTGGTACAAATCCAAACAAAGGGGCTGAACATTACCCGTAGCCTAGAGGCGGTAAGGCATCCAGGGTTCCTTAAGGTGCCGTTCATTGTGAAGCCTTTTGCGATGAAGGCTTGGTAGCATCGAGACATAAGAAGAGCACTAGAAACACGGCGAGCAACGCTGTTAATTTTTTTCAGCCTTTGGGATTTTTAAAAGGGCCTTCTTATACAGTTACATTTCATCCCAACATCTGGGAACAGGTGGGGTTCAGATGCAGAGACCCAACAAAGGGACCAAGAGTCAATCAATGTTCAGTTAATAATTACATAAACTATAAAGAACATACGTCATCAGAAAGAGCGACCCTGCATTTTTGGCCCCCGCTAAACTGTCAGCTCGCCTGACTCAACCGATAAATGGTCCCCGATAAATGGTCATCTTCATCATGTGCGTTACATAGTAAACAATGTGTGTTAATTGCTATGTTACCAAAATTTCTTCCTAAAGTTTCCTCTGCATTTGTATCTCTCCTTCCTCATTTTATGGATGAAAATATGAGATGGAATAGGCTAAGTAATTTTCCCTATAAAGCAGTAAACGGCAAAAGAGGATGCGTAAACCACCCATCTTATTTCCAATCCTATGCTCTTTAAAAAATTAAAAAAACAAAAAAACTCTTTTAAAACAATTAGAATTGAATGGGCTCCCCGAAGTTCAAGTGTAAAATAACGGAACTTCTCCACACCTCCAGTTTTCTCAAAAGCCAGAGGTTTTCCATGTTGGATGATACACCAACCAGAATCTGGGGACCTCGACACAGGTCTGGGTCTGGCATCGGTCAGTTAGGGTCACTAATGGTCCTTTAGTCTGAAGAGGTTGGGCTTTGCATCTGGGGACTAGCTTAGTCATTAATCCCCAATGTCCTTGGCCAGATTGTCTGCCCTGAGGCCAACGCCCTTCTCTGTCTGTGGGAAAAGTTGTTCCAGACCTCAGCCCTGCCACTGCATCTGACATGACCCACGTGAAGCGCCGAGCACCGGGTCTGGACCTGGTGGCCCTAAACACGACACCCACAAGGATGGTGATGATCTTGTGAGAAGAGAGGCCCTCCAGGGAAGCCTGCTGTCATGGACCGAATGTCTGCATCTCCCCCAAATTCTTCTGTTGAAGCCCTAAGCCTCAGTGTGGCTGTATGTGGAGAGGGGACCCTAAGGACGTGATTAAGGGTGAATGAGGCCATAAGCGAGGGACCTTGGTCCCGGAGGCTCAGTGTCTCTCCCAGCACCCTGAGGAAAGGCTACATGAGAACGCAACGAGAAGGCAGCCGTCTGCCAGCTAGGGAGAGAGCTCTCGCCGGAAACAGAATCGGCCAGAACCTGAATCCTGGACGTGAGAAAATAAATGTCTTTCGTTCAAGCCATCCAGGCTGTGGTGCTTTGTGGTGACAGCCAAGCAGACTCACACACCTGCTGACCCACCAGACAGGAGTGAATCGCTCATCTCTTTATCACCCGGCTTCCTCTGCGCGTTGGTTGATGGGAGTGAATGACGGGCAGAGCCCTTCGTGGCTCGCATGTCCTGTACTTTTGTGATTTATGAATGAACGGCCTCCATCTGCTCCTCTTCCCTCCCGGCTGCCCAGCACAGCCTGTTTACCCCGATCGGAAATCTCGCCACATTCGCCAATTAGAGCCCTAATTCTGTTTGTGTGTCTCCACTGCTCTGTGCCCTGGACCCATTCATCCCAGCATCGTTCATTAGGGACCAGAGCTTCTGGGGACGCAGACTCCGCCATCATTAGCACTAATTGAAGCCTGGATGCCCAACCTGCTGCATTATGCTCGCCTTTTCCAGTCCAGCCTTAGGCGTCACAGCTGACAAAAGGCGCTTTGTGGTCTGGGCCCCTCAGATGACAAAAGGCCTGTGTCTATTCACATGCGCCAAGCCGAGTGTGGGACCGTCCACCAGGGTCCCAGGGGCTCAAAGCTGCCCGTGTAGGCACTGGGGCTGAAACGGCCCCACCCCGACGCCACGAGCTGTCTGCATCTTTCGGGGGGGATGATGACAGAGCGCCCCTCTGCCCCCTGGAATTACCTGGAAGTTGGGGTTGGGGTTGGGGTACGGCAGCCAGGCGGAGCGCGAGTTCTCCTGGAGTTTGAAGGGCCCGTTGAAGGCCTGCGAGATGGCGCTCAGGTTGAAGACGCACACGGCGGAGGCGGCGATGCTGTTCCTGGGGGGCGGGGGAGAAAGAAGGAGGGTCAGAGCCCAAGGCGACCGCTGCCCCCCCACAGCCCCCGCCACCTAGCAGAGCCTCTGGGGCTGACGGGGGCAGCGAACGGTGCGCCCTGTGGCCACTCCGTGGAGGACACGCCTTCAGCTCAGACACAGGGGTAACGGCGGCCACGGCGCTCGTCATCCTCCAGATGGGGCCGATTCGCTCAGCCACAGCCCGAGCGACAAAGGATTTGGAAGAACTGTCTGTTACGCCTCTTACACTCTGGAGGGGATAAACTCTCTGCGGCACTGGCGGCCGAGCGGGGCTCCCTCCCCCGCTGCCCTGGCTCCTTTAGGGGACGGTGGCACAGGCTGCCGCTCCTTTTTGCATCCCCAGATGCACGGGCTTATCTGTAAACCTTTAAAAAGTAATCGACTAAAGGCGTTTTGCAAAAAGCGCCTGTCAGAGACTCTTCATATGCATACATATAAGTTTAAAAACGGCAAGAGGGAAAATTTGAGATGGCGTTGACATGGGAATCCTGACGCCGTTATCTGGAATCCGAGCTCTGCAGAGACAGTCGCAAGTGCCAGCTTCGCAGGGGCTCAGTGCCCGCTGGTTAAGCGCAGAAACAAACGAACAAATGTATATACAATAAATCTGCGTTTTGCGCTCAGCTTTGGTTTCAAGTTCTCACGTTAATGCTCTCAGCCGATGAACATCCATTCGTCAATTGTTTTTTCTGAGTCAAAGGAGATACCTGCCTTACGCTTGGTTTATTTGACAAACACGGACCAGGTGCTACGCGCCATTCTAGAGGCTTTACAGATTCCAATTCACTTAGTCTCCCTGAGGTGAGGGACAGTCCCTGATAAGGACACTGGGGCCCAGAGAGGCCAAGGCACCTGCCCAAAGCCACCCAGCTACTAAGTGGGGGAGCTGACCTTGAATGCCAGGCGGTGCGGCTCCAGAGACCAGGGCTTTGAACTCTTTGCTAGAGCTCTGCATGAACAGTGTTCAGACCACCCCCTTGGGAAGCGGGGAGCCTGAGGGCGGGGACACGGCTTCCTTAGAAGGGCCAGCAGGGGAGGGGAGTGGTGGGAAGCACTCCCGCCCCCACTGCGGGCGACGCAGTAATAGACGATGGACGCTAAGTATGAACCTCTGCGTGTAGCCGCCTTTCCTCTTTCTCACGTTACCCTCGGAAAAGAAGGACGTGAGAAGTCAGAAAGGGTAGCTGGGCTCGAGGAAGAAGAAGAGAGCAAAGGCCAGACGCACAGGAGGGAGTCCCCAAGGGACCAGGCGAGGCCACCTCGGGCTTGGCGGTGACCGTTGGGGGTGCTAATAATCATAAGAACAGGCCCTGAGCGAAGCCCTTGACAGGGGTCATCTTATTTCTCACAGGGAACCTATAGACTCTGAGACCACCTGATTTCACAGACAGACAAGCACAGTCACATGGAGTTCGCTTAAGCAGTCACAGGCTGAGGGGCAGTAAAGCAGGAGCCGCACCTGCTTTGCACAGGGCACTAGAGTTCACGCCCGTGACCCCATTGCCGCGCCCCTTCTGCTTCCCGCTGCACCCCACTTCTCAGTTCACTGGGCTCACCCGCCCAGATGCAGGATGGTCTGGGTGTCTGAGGTCGGCCGGGAGCACCCCTGGGTGCCCCAGAGGCAGCCAGTCTGAGCATCCCTGATGGGTGTTGGGGATACTTCTTCCCAACCTCTGGTGAGCAGAGTACCACTGGTGCAACACACACACGCACACACACGCCCACACACGCGTGTGCACACACGCGCATGCATACGCACACGCACGCACACACACACACACACATCCTCCTGTGCTTCCTCTGCCATTTCATTCTCTGTGATCTCAGAGGTGTGGAGAGCAAGGGCACCGTGACCATGGAGGTCCCCCCACCCCGCACCCCGTCCTTCCCAGGCTGGGCCCGCCCACTTTCCCCTCCACGGCCCCATAGGCGGGGGTGAGGGGGGCGGCCCTGACCAGGTCCAGTACCCTAAGCCCATTTGGTGACCAGTCCTTCCACCACGGACTGCAACCAGGTCTCTATCAGCAACCACAGTCATAACGTGACCTTTTTTTTTAATGTTCCACTTTATTTCTTAACTTGTTCGGAGCCCAGGCAGGTAAGTGGTAGGTCCTCCTCAGTGAGCTCTTAATCTATTGGAACTACTGGGGAAAAAGCAGACATACTCTCCTGGCTCTTCCTCTCCCAAGGAGAAAAGAGAAATCAGAAGCTTCTCCCTCCGCCCCCACAGTTTGCTGTCCGTGAGCCAACATTCCCACATGTCTGCTACAACGAAAGCAAAACCTTCAAAGTCTGTGGCAGTCACGTGTCACGTCCTGCAGTCCGCGGGGCTGAGAAAACCACACGGTCCCAGGGACAGAAGGACTTAGAAGAGTCATCTTTATCCCCGGTCCCCAGTGCTAAGAGACCTTGAAAAACACACAGAGGCAAACCAAAACTGTGAGCAAAAGCACCAGAAAGTTAGCCACAGCGTTTTACGGGCAGCGAATTCAGAGACAGGAAGGAACCGGCTGCCTCAGACCGTCATTTTCTTTGTCTGGAGTGAGACTTGTCAAGAATATGGTCACCTTTCGAGAGAGGGTAAGGTCGCGGCTGAGATGAGCGGGAGGACAGGTGGGACAGACTGCGAGACGAGAGGTGGATGTACCGGAGAGTTTTTCCCCAGACCCAGGGAGAGGAAATAGTCTGCAGAAAGGGAAAGGTCGTCTCAGGGCAGATGCTGCACGTTGGGTGATTTTTCTAACACGATGAGTGTTTACAACACAAAACGAATAGTCTGCAATAGTCTGAACCTTATTTTGGGGAGTCTCTAAATTGACCATTCACCATCTTGGAATGGCCCACAAACAGTGCTTATATAACTTTTTAAATTGTTCATTTTTGCCCAGAGCCAGGGGGAATGAACAGCTAAGTAAGCCAAGCTCCCATTGTGTGTAAAATTGATGTCAACTGAGCAACGGAACATTTATCTTGTGCAGCCTACACTATTTCTTAAATAAGGTTTTGGAAAGCAAATCAACTTCAGAAACTATAAATTGATTTTTTTTAAAAAAAAAAAAAAGAAAAAAGAAACTTATCAAGGAAGGAAAATAACCTCTGGGGTTGGAAACCCGATTCACAGTACAGACGGTCACGGTGGGGGCTGGGGAGGTGGGGAGCCATCCATTTTCATCTTATTTTTCTAACTTCATGCCGGAAAGAAGACTCTTCATGGAGTAAATGTTATTATCCAGCAAATGTTAACACTTAAACTCAGTAGCAGAAAGACTGGAAAGGAAAGACCAAGAGGGAAGGGAGATGCAGATGAAGTAACTCTAGAAACGCAGTTCACGGGCTGGCTTCCGAGGAAGGAGAGAAGAGAAAGCTAAAAATACTTAGAAGCAGAGCAGACACCATAGGGCGATCAACTCTCAATTCACCCAGGGCCTAGAGGTTCCTTGGATGCAGGGCTGTCCCCAGCTCTAAAACTAGGACAATCCCAGACAAACTTGGAGGGTCGGTCTTTCCACTTCATTTATCGGCACCTTCGGCCCATCCTGATTCAGACTCTTTATCTTGGATACGAATATTTGGCTTTTGTCTATTCTCTTAGGTCACCAGATTAGAGATTTCGAAGGTGATGCTATCAGAATCCACCCTGCGGAATCATCATTATCACTGTCCATGTGGAGGGAAGCAGAGCTCAGTTTCAGTGTCAATGGGATCTGTGATTCCTGGGGCTGGGTGTGATCTTGCTGAGTCTTATCACAGCAGAGCAGGTAAGAAGGGAAAATACGCATGGGTCATGAGACACTCCACCAGGTTACGGTGAATGAAAGATCAGAAAACTTCATATGCTTTACCTAGTCCAAATTGTGTCAGTTCTGAAGCTCGAATTACCTCCCCGTATGAGAAAAAAAAATGCTATTTTTTTCCAAAAAAAATTTAAAAGCATAGCCATCATTTTAGAACTGCCTGCATAGGTTAGCCATTTTCTAGAACAATGCTTGAAAATGCAGCTATGGGAAAGCGAAAACGTGCATTTCACTTATGAGCAGGAGTTCAGGCAAGAGTTACATCCTCTCAAAGGTCAGATTTCCCAGACAGCACTGCTTTCATTATGCACAAATGTATAACCTGCATATAGGAAAAAAATACACCTAATATGACCAGGATCTTGGAAAGTGCCTAGAACACACTAGCAAATGAGAAAGGAAACATTTACGGTAGAATAATTTGACGATTAAAATCTTTTGATTTGTTCTATGGTCCTAAGACCAGTCTCAGAAATCACAGATCTTTGCATATCATTTAATTCATACTCAATACGATTTTTTGGCTGTTCGCCCGGTTAAATGAGAAAGATTTCTTTTAAAGCAACTTGGAAACCACAAAGGTCAAACAACAGTGGACTCGTTCAGAATGAGCAGAAGAGCAGGGAAAGCAATCGCGTCCAGCTACGTACACGTTGGTGGTGAAGACGCCGTAGATCAAGTCCAGCTCGGGCAGGAAGAACGTGCTCTGCAGCTCGTTGTAGTAGAAGGGGACCTCGCCCGGGCGGGAGCAGTTCAGCCGAGCCTTCATGAAGGTGGTCCAGGTGTCCTCCAGCAGGAAGCGCCCCCCGATGTCGTTCTTGCAGACCCGGGCGGCTCTGGAGAAGACGGTTTTCCCACAGTCATGCTCCACGGCGTTCTCTCGGAAAAAGAAGTAGGTGAAATTGCCGATGTCGTAGGATGACACGAAGTTGGGCTCTGGAAACAACGGGAAAGAAGACAAGTCTCAACATCCGTGTGATGCTTCTTTACGTCTTGCCTGCTCGGTACCTCTTCCCAGGAGGCTAGGTTTTGTACAGACATCTTACAGGCGATGGAGGCCCTCTGAGCACTTAATGGTCTGTGCTGCTGAGGCCGACTCGGTACACAAGATCTGAGTGACAGGAAATCACCAGCATGATTTCACAGGAGAGCCTCCTGAATCAAAACATCAGGTTAACATGACATCGACGCCATCGGGAAAAGGCAGCGAGGATTTGCAAGACACTTTAAGGCGATACCCATTACTTTATCTGTATATTGCTACATACCTTTCAGAGAGAGAGAGAGAGAGTGAGAAAATAAGATTTAAAAGATGCAATGTGATTCAGAATATAAGAATTTAAGAGTCTCGTGTCCTATCATTTATGTACAAAACAACAAAATTCTTTCATTTTACTTACATACATATGTATGACATATAACTTATGTGCTTTCATTAAGGACTTTAAAATGTTTTCATTTGTGAAAACTGAAAACAAATTGAAACTGTGAGGTTAGTGTCCTAAATTAGCTTTAGCAAACCTTGTTACTATGGTGACCATGTAACCAAGGATTAACTCTTATTTTTTTTTTTTCTGGGTTGTCGGGGAATCCACTTAGAGAAAGGAAATGTCCTGAGATGGAGTCATTAGCCTGCACATCTTTGGTCTCATTATTAGCTAAAAAATAGGGATTGAAAAATGCCAAAAGTATGGTAAAACCTTTAATCACCAAGCTCATGAGAAATTAGGAATTACATAGATTGTCAACAGAATTTTAGGTACAGGCTTGTAAGTGTTACCTTTATAACTTGCTGTCTGAACCATCGATAATAGAAGTCATGCCCTTTCAGACACAGATAAGCCCTAATGTTTACCTCTAAAAACTCTATAACCAGCTTTGATTCTTACTATTTTCTCGATTGCTAAGGGCTTTTTATTCAATCAGCAAGTTCCTAAATTTTATAGTGCAATAAGGATAATGTAGCAATAACCTTTGGTGTTCGAAATTAATGAAGGACACACAATTATATCCATGAGAACACATTTCAGGGACAATTAGTTTTGGGGGTGGGGGGGCATTCAATTGGCCTTGTACTTTGCCAGATCCTATCTGAATGCACTTAATATTGGCGGGACGACTGAAATCTGTGTGGCCACGAGATGACCCATTCACGTTAAGAGTAAGACACACAGCAGGCTGACCTAAGATCTAAAATGTAGACACTGATTCAGAGGATGACATGAGGTTGACAGTGGACACTTTACTATTCTGTCCAGAAAGACTATTACTGGTTTTTAATCAACACATATAGTCAATGGTGCCACGAAATATTTCAATTTAATTCAACATCCCATTCTAAAAATATAACAAATATCCTAAATTGTACATTAAAGGTGCTTCTCTCTTCCATCCATGATATTGGTCTTAAGTCATTTTGACAACCTCAAGGAATACAATGAGAATTTGCTAAGGAACGATTTTAATTTATAAACTGCCAAGCATACTATTAGATTACTGTGACTTTAACTTGAAATGGGTATTTAAAAACACCAAACCCTGGATTGTGTTAAAATGGATGAGATGGAAAGTAGATATATTTAGGGGTACAGCACGCTTTGATACCCTGGAGAGATGCCCACAAAACAGGAGGCCACATATCTCTGACCTCTTTTGGAACACAAAGAAAACTTTGGGGGGGGGAGGGGCGGATTTTCGAATCTGTGTTCACTACGAGTCTCCAAAAGAGAATCATTTGCTGCAGCAGGCCCCAAAGCCAAGATTTGGAACAATTACAAAACTGCATTTGAGTTCTAAAGAACATATTCACCTGTATGTTCCATTTTTAAAGAGAAGGCTCAATCATTTCAGAATAGGCCCTGCACCAAATTCATATAACCAGGCTACAGTCTGATCATTGTGCTGAAAGCAAATAAAAACCACCAGCAGCAGCAATCACAGCAAAAAGAACAACAAACTACCTTACCTTAAACGGAGAAAGCTAAGAAAGAAGGTGCAGGACCAGGTGTGTCTTGCTGGGGTCCAGGGTCGCCAGCACATGTGGATGAGGTGTGAGGCACAGTCCACGGGATTTATCAAATGCCCTCACAAACACCTACTTCTGCTACTAACTTGGGGACAAACAGCACGAAAACCACACAGCAAACATCTCTGGTATGTAGGAAATCTTGAGCAGGAAAACGAGAAGCTACAAAGGTAAAAAGCTCTGTCATGGTTTCTTCCAGCTCAAGGGTGGGTCTATAATTTAAAATACCTACAGAGTGCTAATGCCGCCATGCCTGGCTCTGCGCCCGGCCCAGTGCTTCACGTCCACATGCTCTTTAAACACAAGAATCATAGAGGCAGGTGCTGTCATTCTTCCCATTCCGTGGATGAAGACACCAACGCCTAGTGGTTTAATAATCTGCCTAAGTTCGCACAACAAGCGGCAGGGACGGAGATGAGGTTTCTGCCCCGAATCCAGACGGTCCGCCCTTAGAGCCTGTACATGCACCATCACGCCACACCGAAAAATGTAACGGGCTGCACAGAAGCAGGGGTCAGGGAGAGAATTTGGAAAGCAAAGGATCGAGATGAGGAAGATTTCAGAAGCAACTGGAAGGGAAGACTAATGCCCAGATGAAACCTGACCCTGCAGCTCTTGGAGCTACCAGGAAGGACACCGAAAGAAGGAAAAGCAGGAGGAAGAGGCCAACAACCCAAAAGCTTCTAAAACGAGCAAACTGCTGGGAAGCGGCTGCCCCGACCCCAGATGTGGTGTTTCAAGTGGTGCCCACCACAGCCTGAGTGCCTGCACCTGACTGTTAGGGCATCTATCCCAGGCCCACTGTCTACGCCACTGAATCGTTTCGCACAGATGTCTCACACAAAGGGGATACTGAATAATGTCAAGTAGGTTGGTCCGCAGCTCCCCCTTTGCCGAGAACCACTCTGAAACAGCCTTATGATAGAGATGCTCAAATACATCTTCCTAGTGTGGGTGGCGTCTGCTGCATTTTCATTCCCTGCACTTTGCAGGACACTTAGTCAGGGAGCGAAGCCACATTTGAAGCACATCCCGCCGCCCTGCAGTGGTCCTTCAGGACGCTGTTGGGTCCCTGATCGTGAGACCTGAGGCGTAGTCAGGAAGCTCCATTTCTTGGAAAGCTGAGCCTTTTGAAACTCAGCCAGCATTCTGTTCCTTTTCCAAAGACAGCCAAAAAAAAAAAAAAAAAGCAGCAATAATTGTTGAACAGACAGCCAAATATCTCTTGCATTTATAGCCATAAATCTGGAGGAAGGGGATGTTTAATTCTCACCAGGCAAGATAATAAGATGCATATTGTTTCTCTTTCATTATTCAAGTTTTGTTTCCGGTTAAAATGAAATTCGCCGTAAAGTAGCATCTGTCACTCCAGAATGAACTGAACGAGACATAAATCGGGCATCGCCGCCTTGTCTACAGTGAACGTGAGCATGTGCGAGAGAGACGTGAGGGGTCCTTTAGTCCTCAATATTATTGGAGCCACAAAAGAATGGACGGAATGGAAGGAATGGAAGGTGTGCTGCTAATTCAAAATAAAAGAGGACATGACTCCACGTCAGGTTGTGATGAGCACATGCGTGAAGACGCTGTCTTTCTCGTGCTTGTTAAACATGCTGAGTTACAGATTACAGTGTTCTACAAAATCCGTCACGTTTTAGGAAGACTCACGTCTCATGATATAAGAACTTTGATTTTACACCTTTGCTGACACAACCGTGGCCAAGCAGATGGGAGGATTGAGAATAGACTCACAACATAAGTGAGCGTGAATCAGGAGAGGAATAAAGAAATCGACGCTTTTGAGAAGACTTTGACCTTGCACAACCAGATGATGGACATCCAGACGCATGCTCTTGTTCTATACTCTTCCCCTGCCAGTGCCTGCGCATCAGCCTGGGGTGCGCCATGACCAACTGCACGGCGGACCAGGCAGCTGACAGGCTGTTGACACAGACATATTTGTCTACATTGAAAGGAACGGATATTGAAGACAAAACGGAATTCCGACGTTCCTACTCTACATAAAACTCACTAGACTTGAAATGCATCGTTAATTCTTTCGCGAACAAAGGCCATCTTGCAATATGCTTTCCGAAGGCGTGGAGCCCATGTAGGCTGTGGCTCCGGCTACCTCAGCCCGAAGCCCTGGGCTAGACCACCGACTTCTGGAAAGCTCCTTCACCCTTACGATGATTCAGGGCATGAAACACCTACTTTGTTGTAAGGATTAAAGAGACTAGTACAGAGTAAAAATCCTAATGAATGGTGGCTCTCATTATTATTTCATTATTTACTCTTGATTTCCTTTCTAATAATTTATATCTAGTAGAACTTCACATGATGATTACGAAGGATCGAACATGCAGATATCAAGCTTAAAGGTGATCAGGATTTGAGAAACAAAAATACAGCCATGCTGACTTTCTAAAACAGCAAGCTCTTCCACAAAAGGAAAGAGCTTATGGAAACTACCTTGAGACATGACACGCCGCAACCCAGAGATCTTCTGACGCTTAATTTGTTAAGAGTCAGTCGCTATTAAAACCATTCCCATATTTATTCCCAGATTTCAGACTCTCTCTTCTTGTGCATTATTTTCCTTGTCACGACTATCTGAATACGTGCTGCAGAGGCTGCCAGAATGAACCTAATTCATCTAGGTATTGGTTACGAGGGGAAAATTAAACTAAAAGTGAAGGTACAGTGTGTTTAAAAGCCACTGATGTACTAAAGTTCTTTCTCTAAGATTTCCAGTGGAAAATAGATGATAGATAGATAGATAGATAGACAGACAGATTAGAGATAGTCAATAGACACGTGTGTGTCACATACATACGTATAGTATTGAGGTGTATGTATATATGGCTCGATACTTCCACCTACTGGCTGTGTGAACTTGGTCGGGTTATGAACGGCATAGATTCTCAGTTTCCTCTGTTTTCAGGATGGCAGTAACAACACCCAACACGCAGTATCACTGTGAGAGTCAAAGGCGACACATGCCAGGCACTGGGCACTTGATTGCTATTCATCAAAGTTTAGACCACTATTTATCTAAATATATAGAATGATACATGTGAAAAATAAATGCATACATTAATAATAAATGCATAAATTAATAATAAACATATAATAATAAACATATATGTAAATATATAAATTAATAGAAACACACACATTGATAAACATTTCATTGGTCTGTGTTTTTTTCCCAGCAGATCTGGAACCATACAGGGTGGAGGGGCCGTGTGACAGAGGGAGCCTTCAGTGCCAGCCAGAGGGCCCCTCCATCACCAGGAACTGGCTGGCCACTTACCGGGCACTGGGTTTTCCTGGTAAAAGACAGACAGAGCCCGGGCCCTCAAGGTCAGTGTGAGGAGACACACAAAACGAGGCTAAAAGGAGTCACAATGATAATGAGGATGGTCAGGGCCAACGGCCGCCAGGTGACCTCGAGACTCAGAAAGGGGAGAGGCGAGGGCGAGTACGCGTTTGGGAATGGGCCACCAGGCCCAGAGCAGGGAGAGGGCAGCCTGAGAGAAGATGGTAGGGTGTCTGGGCGTGGATCCCCGGGGCAGGAGGTACAAGGCCAGGCCAGCCACCCACAGCGAGGAGCTGAGTTTCCACTGGCACTGGAGAGACACTAAGGAGCTTTGAAGAAAAGCTCATGACCCAAATTCCCGTGTGTGTACTGGTCAGGTCAGGGTGGGGGGTGGGGGTGCCACCAAGCATGTCCCTCGTGGTCACTGACACAGACGAGTCAGCCTTGGATCCCGGTCCTTCTCACACTGAGCACGTGGCAGGAAGAAAGCAGTTGCTAACACACTCGCAGCAGGAAGAGGAACAGGGTCCCAGCGAACGCGAGTCCTTCCTCTCCCAGGGGAATATGCCCTCTTGAAAATGCGTCATTCACGTGGCTTTGTGGATTCAAGTAGCAGCAACCTGTACCACGGAGACAGGAGCTGTCTCTTCCTGATCGAGGATATCCGCCTCTGCGTTGGCCCACCATGCTCACCTAGAATTCTCCCTCACCATGCACGTAGGAGCTTCATTAATTGGCTATTTGTCTAAACGTTCCAGCTTGAAGTGACAAAGATGCCCTTGTCCAGTCGGCTCTCTCACTCTGGTCCAAGCACAAAGCCTCTGGCAGCCTTTCTATTCTTCTGGAAGATTCTACCAAATCACACCTTCCTTGGCTCGATCAGTTGTAAGTAATTTCGTGACTATGTGCTTCTAAACATTTTCAAAACAGGAAGTTTTCGTTTACCATGTTCGTTTTTTCCTGATTATATTTTAAACGTATAGGTTCATTTCATCTAAGAATTTTAATAATTTAACCTGCAGAAGTGTAAATCAAAACTGAGATTTTAATTAGACTATTAACTTGAATTCACAGATCTTAGGACTATTTTCATGCCTATAAAGTATTTTTAAAGATCAAGAGGAAAACATGTAAGATTTAATTGAAAGATGACGTTGGGCTTGGCATCCTGTAGTTAGAATAAGTAAGCATGTATGGTTTCTTGGTCTTCATTAAGATGATCTGGACAAGGGCACGAACTCAAAATACAGAGCGAACTATCCCATATGTAGCAGAGAATGGAAAACTGTGAGTTCATTCACGAAGAAAACAGAAAAGTCTAATAGAATAATCTGGAGACAAATTGACTGAAACGCATAGAACTGGATATCTTATCAACATATGACAGTAGCATTTATGGCTCAAACTGGAGCGTTTAGGGGAGAGAAAGTGAGCAATGTTAGTATTCATCCCAGGATGTCAGGAGTGGCCCAGAACTGTCACAGGAAGCTGCTTCTGATCTCTACACAATGGACACTGAACCAATTTCTTGAGTGGTTACTGTATAAAATATTAGTCAATTTCCACCCAATGTATTGTACTCTTTATAATGATGCATAAAAATAAATTCGTGTGAATTTATTTTTTTGGATGCAGGTCTCCATAGGATTTAGTGTATACAGTTGGTGCCCTTGGCTTCCTGATATCTTGGTGAAGGATGGAAGGGCTCATTCATCTGTTGTTTTGAAAGGTGCAAACCGGAAGTCCGAATGACTCAGTGTAAGTCCAGAGCCTTAGTCACAAGACTGAGGTGATGCCGAGGCTCCCCGACTTTCAGGCACTCAGGTTTCCGTGAGCGAGCCAGAGCACAACACTATTTTTGAAGAGCACCCCAAGAATTGGCTTCTTTGTGTCACGCCAAACTTTTGTGCCCATAAAGGGTTGTATTAAATTACCTCCAAAGGCTCTTCTGTGTTGGGTTTAATAAACTTAATTCATTCTATCTCTTCTTGCAAGCTTTTATAAGAAAACACTCTCAACCATTTCCAAAGTCCCCACATCCCTCTTCCTGTCAGCTTGGGCATAAAAATGTAGATACCAGAGAAAAGGTGGAGGCAGGTTAGGATGTCAGTGTTTCCTAGGATGTCGACTCAACGAAGCAATGCTGAGAGTACTTGGGGGGATGCGAGCTCTGGATTGGGACCTATTTTCAAATCCTAGCTCAGGTGTGCATCAGCTGGGTGGCCCTGGTCCAGGTGGCTGATCCTTCTGACTTCGCATTGCCCATCTATGAAACAGGACCATGGCGTCTCCCTTGGAAGGCTGTGTGGATCACAGATGACATGTATATGGTGTCTCCCATCCACCTGGTAAGTTATAAACAGCCATGTGACTCTCCCTTGCACCTAGAGTAATAACCAGAGGTAACATAGTTCCCTGCAGGTACACGGACAGGCAGATGACATGCAGGGAGGCTATTGACTGAAAATCTTTTCTGACCCTACGAAGAAAATCAGGTTTGGCTTAGAACACAATTTCTAAAACGCATCTGTCCCACACAAGATGGACAACCTGCCCAGTGCCCTCAGGGGCTGGATGAAGCCTGGGGCACATGTCACAGGATTCGCTCGGCATGCTGTAAGGCCAGCTCTCATCACCCAGCGGGTTAAACCTCCATGAGTCAGGTGTCAGCCCACCTGTTCACAATGACACCGCGTTCTAAGCATCTCCCCAGGTGCTTGTTTGGTAAAATGCCAAACTAGATCGCTGACTAAGCAGTCCTGATTTCTGCTTTTTTTACTGACCTTCTTTGACTTGATAAAGACTTTAGTTTTCCTACCCGAACATCGTGCATTCCCAGGCCGTACTTGTCTTTATTTTGCTTGTTCTGTGAACTCGGCTTTCATTTATGAATCTCCTGCCTTAACAAATGTCATCTGTCCAGGCAGCACTAGCACAGATGACCCATAGCTCCAGCACTGTGTAGACTCTGCCAGTCACTGTCCCCAGGACGGAGCCCAGCAGCGTCTCCCAGCCTGGCTATGCCTGGACCCCCAAGGGGTGGGACCTGCTCCCAGGGAGAAGCATGGAGCTCCACAAAGCCCATCCTCACGATTAGCAGAAACAGTTTCTCCTGGAGGTAAGCATGGAGGGGATTTTCTCCCTCCGAGCAAATTCTCTTTAATCATTAGTAGCTGAATCATTGTATTTTAAAGACCTCAGAGAGTCCATTTAACGTGTGGGTAACATCGTTAAAGTATTTCAAACCAAGAGAGCTTGAGATTGCTAGACACAGAGTTTTCTTAATGACAAACATAATAGCTCGTAAGAACTGATATTATTAGAAATGAGAACGCTTGCAGATTTCAAGTGACCTTGCCTCCCCACGGGGTCACGGCTGGAGTCTCGGAAAACGGAGGTCATCAGGACAGCCCAGCAGATAAGCAACCCTTTCCTCCAGCGAAGAAAACACACAGGTCACCGAGCGCTAAGGGGGTGACACCCATGTCTGTGTCTGCACTGAGCCAGCAGAGCTAATTTATGAACCAGTTTTTCCAAGTTCCTACTGAGTTCTTAGTCTATGTACAAGCCGGCGGTTCCTGCGGAGCCCGCAAACTCAGTGTGCACACTATTAATTTGGAAATGTCTTTTTCCCCCCTTTTTCATGAGTTTATTGTTTCCCCAATTTGATGGCCAATTTCTTGAAGGCAAGTTTTACAGCTTCTCTATTTTAAGCATCGGCCATTAAGCATTTATTATCCTGTCTTACAGTAATCATTTAATAAGGGTTATTAACAGTTAGTATTTTAATGCATTAAAGCTGTTAAGGTATTTCTCTAAACACATAAATTTGTTTTAAGAGTGATTTTGGCACAGGGGAAAAATCCAATTTTAAAACTGATATTCATTACCAAACACATAACTCACTGTTTCACATTCCTGCAGATCATTATCCAATCGATCGTATTGCCTTTTATAACCGACTGAACAAATAATGGCTGAAAACTGGAGTCCGAATGAGTCGGCAAAAGGAAAATTTTTAAATGTCTGGACCTGAATCAGTTTCAAACACATGAATCTATTTTTTCTTATTTTAATTCCGGGTTATAACTAATACAGCAGGCTCCCTTCACTTAACATCATTCATGTTTCTGCTTCTTGTGAAGTATGCTCTTCTCCTACGGAGACTCGAGCACTAAGTCAGATGCTGAGCAAAGATGCCACACACATAATCCCTGCCTTCAAGGAATTCGTAAACACGTGGGGGAAACAGGGAAGAAACTATTCATCTGTTAACTCATTTCTTCAAAAAATATGTATTGGGTGGACAAAACACATAAGCTCAGACACTCATTCAAATGGATGGGAAGAGACAATGTGCTAAAGAACATCACAGCAAAGGATCAAACTTGAATGTGATAAGCGGGATCGAGAGAGCTGGGTGGGACAGGGTGTGATTTCAAACCAAGGTATCAGGTGAGGTCCTATGGAGAAAGGCATTTGAGCCAAGGCTGGAAGGAGCTCAAGCAGCAAGCCAGGTACCCTATCTGGGGAAAGGGCTTTGCACATAGAACACAAGATGACCAACCACCGTCCGTGGGCCAAATCCTACCTGCTGGCTATAAATAAAGTTTTATGAGCACGCAGCCATGTGGTCACATGTGCGTTGGCGATGGCTGCTTTCACGCTACGATGGCAGGCTTGAAAAGCTGCCATGGAGACCATGTGGACTGCAAATCCTCAAACATGTACTGTCTGGCCTGCTGCAGAAAAAGTCTGCTGGTCCCTGGGAGGGAGGGAAGGGCCGCGGCACGGGCAGCATTTAAGGCTGATGCAGACGGAACAAGGAGGCTGCTGAGTGAGGACAGAGGTGGTGGAGGTGAGGGGAAGGCGGGGAGGGGGGGCTTTGGTTTTCTCTGCAGGGAAATGGGGACTCTGGTGGTTTCGGGGAGGGAGGAGAA